AATTTTGAAATGAATCAATGGGAAACATGCCATTAATATACATACTGTTGAGAAATCTTATTTTTTTCAGCATAAGATCACGGTTGGACATCATGTTAATCCCTTTTGTTTGATACTGCCCTGAGTACTGACATGTTTCTGGACTTCAGCTTAATGTATCTTTGTTTTTTTCTTTCCCAGTTTAGAGCTGAAGAGCTAAGTGCTAGTTTTACGAGATATCCCAGGACCTTTTGTGTTTGGAAGGTCACTTGAATTTAAAATAAGGGCTGCCTTCATTCAGGAAACTGAATTCCAGCTTCAACACCACTAGGCAGGAAGAGAAAAGCAGTCTTGGAAACATTTTTGTTCTGAAGTCCCACATCTTTACCATCTCTTATTATTCTCCTTCACCTCCTTCTGTGTAACTAACACTGACCAGGGTGGATCTAATTCTTTGTGTAAGGAGGAGGTATCAAATTCCCATTTGTTCATCAATGAAGTGAGATGATCATCTCTGGGGAATTTGCCAAATGTGCTTTTCTGGGCTGCATGTGACCAGCCCAGGACATTTTAAATTGTAACTCACTTTCCGTTTTCTATAAATATTCTCCCTAAAAACAAGGCAGATTCAAATTGAAATCCTCTTGCAGTTCCCTCAGCCTGGACAAGCTTGTGTGTAATAATATGGGTTCCCAAAGAAGAAAGAAACTTGTATCTTTTTTAAAAACTTGAGAATGACTAGGGTGCTTTTCTAAATAAATATGCTTCATCATCATTGGCATACAAACTCCTGCAGGTTATTGCCCAGTTAATTGAGAAGAGCTTGGAAAGCAGTCTTCTTTTGTCTGCCCCATCTGTTAGGGTTGCCAGATTTTCAACTGGCTTCTGCAGCTGTGCCTTTAACAACAACCAGATCTGCAGGAAATAGCAGGTGATAATGTTTATCTTCAGGACAGCTTTGGCAAGCATCTTCAGCTCATTCCTGCTGATCAAGCTACTGTCAAAAGGCTGGTTTTTCTATGAACAGCTTCTCTGATGTCTATCATCCATTCTGTTTGTTCAGGCAATGCTCTGTATGGTAAATCAGTATCCTGATAGCCCTCTTCTTTCTCTCTCCCAGAAAGCATTAGGGCCCCACAAGTTGCTTAGCCCCGACTACTGTCTCAGAACCACAGCCCAAGCCTTTCAAGTCTGGACTGCCCACACTCTAGGCCAGGGATGGCGAATCTTTCAGAGACCGAGTGCCCAAACTGCAAACCAAAACCCACTTATCGCAAAGTGCCAGCACTGCAATAAAACCTGAGGTTTTAGTTTAGAAAAAACAACTCGCAGCCAGTCCAAGCAAATATTTATATATCCCTGGCGGTGCACTGACCAGCCATGCAAAAGCTCGGACGAGGCCCAGCTAATGAGTTGTGGCTCATGACGTCATCGCCTGGCGCTGCTACTCCTTTCCGAGCATGCGCATGGCCTCTATGTGCGCTGTTATCTGATGCTCGGCTGCTGGGGTGATGCTGGGGCGACTTGGCTCACGTGCCAACAGAGGGCTCTGCGCACCTGCTGTGGCACACGTGCCATAGGTTCGCCACCACTACCCTAGACTATGTGCATAGCAGCCCTTGGCTCAGCCACAGGGCGGGTTTGAACTATTTTTGTCCACTTTTTAAATGCCGTGTTTCTCCCTTTTTCCACCTTGTCTTGTGAGCATAGGATATATACGTTTATTTATAGCTGATTAATTCTATTCTGGAGTTCATATAGTGTCTATTAACAATCTGCATACTCTTATAAGCAATCACCTGTATATATGTATATGTATATACTCTTATGTGTTCAATATAAATGCCATCATGGAAGAGATGTGTATGCATCAGTGGAGCAAATCTGCCAAGATGTGCTGAGGTAAGGAGGCAAAACCTCTTCCAGCACAAGCACCAAATTCCATTGTGAAGGTTTTAGAGAGATACAGTCCCGTGGCAGACAGGTCCAAAATCCCCCCATCCCTGCCAGCTTATTTTAGCTTAAAATTCTCAGTAAAATTTAGGCATGGCATTTCCCTATTAGAAAGGGGAAACAAACTGCACAAATGCTAGGTACCCTCCAAACAATCTGTATTTGTGAGAAAGAGGCGGAGCTAGGGCAAGGGGTGTGGCCTTTCCGGGAGTCCCAAATTCAGCCCCCAGCCTGACGTTCTGCAACCTGGACCAAAGCCAGTGTTAAAAGTTCCTTTAGACGTGAATCTCTATGCACATGCATGTTCTGAGGAAACATTTGTTAATCATGGTTGAATGAATGCTTGAATTGACAAGTGGTTATATTCTTCCCATACTGATGCACCTTCTGGTCATGTCCACATGCTTGCCCAGTCAACATTAATAAGAGAAGGGCCTTATGTGCGTCCACCATTAGTAAGAGAAAGGCCTTATATGTGTCCTCCAGTACTGGGGAATCTTAAGAGCTGTTCATCTCTGAGCAGAAAAGGCAGACAATCTTCCCTGAAAGTCTTACAATTTTCTGCTATGTTTGCTGTTTCTTAGGGTGCCCTCTTTGTCCACAGTGAAGCCCAAGAGGCCTGACCAGTACTCTGTATGGACAGACTATATCTCTTAGGTCATGCCTCAGAATCCGGACAAGCAGGCAGGAGTGCCTTAGCAGATGAATTAATGTGCAAAGGGTTCCCTGGAGGTCAAAAGGTTGAAAGTCACTGCCCCAGAGAAATATTTCTCGCACTGGAAAATGTTTTGCTGGGTAAGGTGGAGCCAATGTAGACTAGAAAATGCAGTGAGGCTGCCCCCTTGTGGTAATCCAAGTAATATACTCAATAATTATATTAATAGAACCAGTTAAATTTGACAGCACCACATACTTGCTCCAACTTCTCTCGGTAATGAGTCGTTCCAGGGATGCAACTCTTACCCACATTTGGCTTCTTTTGAAAAGAGGTCACTGGAGCCATAAGAAGTTTTGTAATATTTGGGTTTATTTGCAAATACAAGTAAATATAATGGTTGAGCACAGGTGAAGCACACATTTTAAACATTATAATTGACAGAATCAGATTACTCCTACATCACATTTCTGGGGGAAGGGTGGAGACACTGATTGCAAAAAATGTAATTTAGGCTTCTCTCTGCAAAAATTCAAGTCTGTTTCCTTTCTCCCACACATGCTTAAATGCATTATCCTTCCTTGGAAAAGAAAAAAAAAACGCTTTCAGGAAAGTAAAGGTCCAATTCTATGCATGTTTAAGCAGAAAAATTGTCCTACAGCTCCCAGCATTCCTCAACATGCTGGGAGCTGGAGAACTTTCTGTCTAAACATACGCAGGACTGTGACCTTACCGAGCATATAACTCTGAGAACAATCAGCCATCCATCTCCCTAACAATGTACCCTAGCAGTATTTCTGGCTCTATTAATCATCTCCTATTGAAACCTTCAAGTATTGTTGTTGAGAGACACTAACAGTGATGAGCCCTAGAATGCTAGAGGTGGAATCCATGATGTAAACAATTCTTTGCTTCTGGAATAAGAATGCAATGTTGACAATTGTCTTTGAAGAACATTAAATAGCATCTGCCTTGCCAGTAGGCAAGAACTGCTAGATAACCCTTTCTAGGCAAAGAAAAAGAGTATTATGTCTGAGGAAAGAATCCCAGAGCTTGAGACCTGGCAGCTAGAACACTAGAATCTATCTATCTAGGACAGGCTGCGTTATGCCTCCCAGAGAAGAAGACTTAGCTGCTTTGAAGTGATACCCAGCCACAGGAAAAATACGGAAAACTTCTACAGGAATAAAAGGAGGCCAAGTTTCTTAAGCAAAGGAATTTCAACATGGCAGGAAACAAGACTGAATAGTCTATGTTTCAGACATCCATGTGATTCTAGAGATGGGGAAACATGCATTACGTATGTGTACTTGGACAAAAGAATGACACTCATATAATAATCTCAAATTCCATCTGTAACTATCAGGCCTTATATATCCAAAATGGAAGCAATGGACAGTGGCCAGGTACTCAATGTAAGCAAACATACTGTCATTTAATTCAGATAATTCGGAAATTGTGTGAATTGAATAAATGACTGATATAAGGATGTATTAGTTCAGCCTTTATTAAAGAGGTGGTAGCTGTGGCATGAGTGCTCTTTGGTTGATGCACCAGTTATGGAGATCTGTATGAATGGAGATTGATTAATGTTTGGCATGTGGGGCTGCCTTTGAAATTGGAAACTTCAAGTAGAAAAAGCAGTGTCTAGACAACTGACATGACTTTTAAAATGTTGATGGTGCAATAGTCAAATAGGTCATATACACTGGCTTCCAATGTGTTATTAGGCACAGTTCAAGGTACTTAATAACTTGGTTCAAACAGTGTCCGTGCTGATATGAACCTTCCTGCAGTGGCTGTTGAGGGAGGCCTTGCTCTGGGCCTCATGAAAAGTTTTGCTGGTCTGCAAGAGAGGCACCGCCTTTCCAGTCCTGCTGTCCATGTTGTGGAATCCCTTACCTTGATATCCAGTCGGCTCTTCTCTGTTTTTAAGCACAGATTGACAATCTCTTTTAAGGAGGTGTGTGCTTTTCGGGAATGCACTTTATCACTCGCGCGAAAGATGTTTTGATGGACCTCTTGCTGTTGTTTAAATTGTTTTGATGTTGCTTTCGTGATTTTTTCTAAAAAGGGTTTCGGGCGCAAGCTTTAGGCAGAAGGAAGTCCTAGAGCTCCTGGCCTCCTTCGGCCATCCATTCTTTGCAAATGCACTCCGGGTCGCGCCTCTAAGGCGCTTGCGGGCCTCCTGAGGAACCGAACGGCCAGCTACGTTGCTGCTAACCGCGCAGGCCTCCCGCCGTCAACGCAGCGCTTCTGACGCCGCGTAGCGAATCAGTTCCGAGGCTGCCCGTCACCATCACAACGCCGGACGTCACCTCCCCGGGGCCGGGCTGTGATTGGCCGCGGTGAGCCGGAAGCGAGGGCGGGTTCTCCGTCCCGGTTGCCGCAGTGACAGGACCAGAGCGCTCTTAGGAGCTGGGAAATGGCGGCGGCATCATCATCGTCGTCGTCGCGTCGCTCGCAGCAGCATCATCACCACCCTCACCCTCCACCTCATCACCCGGCCCAGTCGCCAGTGTCGCCGCCTCGGAGCCCCAACCTTTCCCCCACTGGAGCTTCCCCTCAGCAGCGGCCCACTCTGGCCGGTCCCGAAGGAGAGGCCCCCGCGAGCAGCGGACGGGAAGGGGCGGTGGCGGCGGCCGCGGCAGGGTCCGCCGAGAGGCCTTTTTCTCCGGAGAGTGGCGGCGAAGGCGCCGGGCCTCCCCAGCCGCCGGGCTCTGGGGCCAGTAGCGCTGCCAACAGCAGCAGCAGTAGCAGCAGCAGCAGCTCCGGCTCCTCGTCGTCTTCGTCGTCCTCGGCTGCTTCCAGCCCAGCCGCTGCTGAGAGCCCCGAGCCGCCTCCACCGCCGTTGCAGCCGCCGCCTCCGCCTGTGGGAAGCGGTGCCTTTCGGGAACTGCTCGAGGCCTGCCGCAATGGGGACGTGACGCGGGTTAGACGCTTGGTGGATGCCACCAACGTCAATGCCAAGGATATGGCCGGGCGGAAATCCACCCCTTTACACTTCGCTGCAGGTGAGAGGCCAGGGGGAGGAACGGGGCAGCAGCAGGTAGTTACCTAGGCCCTAGGAGAGCCCATCAGCTCTGACTCCCTGCTACTTAGCTGCAGAGATGACCACATACAAAGGAGTGTTTTGAGGCATGAGTGGGCTCGACTGTCCTAGTGAGCTCTTGCTTGTGGAGGCAGCTGCAGACTCAGAGGGCAAGTAGTATAGGGTAGCCACTGCTTCCTTTCAGTGTGGGCAGTTGAGTTATGAACACCTGCCTCAGATTGCTTAAATTTCCCCTTCTGCTGGGAGGCTCAATAAGGAGGATTGGGCTCAACAGGATTATTCAGAGACTATATAAATGAGATGAAGTAGACTTCTGCTTGTAGAAGCAGTTTCTGCCTGTTTGATTACTCTCATTCTCTGGGGTACACTGCGGGATAATTGGATTTGCCCAGATCAGTTCCCACTGATGCACTGCCCACAACTGTGGGAACATTTAAGTGAGCTTTAGGAAGTACTGGCTGCCTCTTCTTGGCAGCACCTCCTCATTTCACTTGTTTTCTAATTCTCTCTGGCACTCTGGGGAGGATTGGGCATAAGAGAGCAGCAGGAGAAGGCAGCTATGGCTGTTTCTTAGAAGAGTAACTCTTGCTTTTGCTTCCCTCTTTGATTGTGCAGCATACCAGGTAGGATTGAGCTTTGTCAAGAGTAAATATTGCTTCTGCCCAGTATTTGTCTGCTCTCAGTGGCATCACTAGGAGGAAGAGTGAAGATCTGATCCTGCAGTGTGTTCCAGAGAGAATGTCAACCCACAGTGTTTCTACAGGTTGCATGATGAGGACTGGGCCCACTGAGGGAGACAGTGGGAGAATAGAGAGCTGTGAACTTCTGTGAAAGTTCCAGTTCACAGAAAAGAAAGGTTTGTTGCAATAACTTAGTAATAGGAAGGGGACAGTGTCAGTTAAATATGGTACGGTGATAAGCTGGAGGGGTACCTCTGGGATCTTAAAGTGGTATGGGAAACTGACCTAGGTGTATTGGTACCAGTTGTAGGCCGGGAAGTAATATGGAACAAAGTTCCCCTAAAACAAATGTTGACCCCCATAAAAGTCAGTTCTCAAACTAATGCACAGGCAGCATATAATGCTAGTAAAGCTAAAGCTTTAAAACCCTCACCCCAGGCTCTTGAAAAGAATGTGTGAATGAGATACTCTTACTCACATTTGGTAGTCTTGTACCTTTGTAAAAACTTCATGGAGGTTCAATTACTGGCTCAGATGTTAGAAATAGCACTTCAGATTGTATCACATGTTCCTCCTTGCTCCCTTTGTTGTTTACAAACACAAATATTCTCAACCAAGATATGATCACATAACTGCTAGCAGTGACAAAGATGGAGATAGCAAATAACTGGAAAATGCCCATGGGCCAGACAGTTGAAAGTTAGTTTAAAACAAATTTGAACAGCAGCATCAGGAATAAATCAATAACTTGATGAGTTAGAAGTATAACAAAAGAAGATGGATTTCTGGTGACATGGTTCCCTGTTATTTCTTTTATCCATAAAATTCCATGTCTCCTAGATCATATGTCACTCAGGTTGCTGTATGCATCTTTAATGTCATATTTTTAATTCGTAAATTTCTTGGAGCAGTGGTAGTATAATATCCTATATTGCAACTATTTAAAATGTGTATCTGATATGCAGTAATATTTTTGTTACACAATAAATTTCCATGTTCTTATGTGTATAGTTTGACTTCTTAATAAATAAACTTTAAAAAAAAGTTGGGGTAAAACAAGGTGATTTCTTGGGTTTGTGGAAAAGAAAGTGCTTGCTTTTTTCTGCTTGATGTTGTACTACTCATGTGAACAGCTTGGCCACAGCAGTACAGATGCCATTGACTTCAATACTCCATTGCTTCAGAGTATTCTATGTGGGACTGCTTTTAACATTGATTTGGAAGCTGCAGGTAGTGCAGAATGTTCATCTCGTTGTTGGGAGCTGTTAATTTAGAATGTACCTCCTTTGCTGAGAACTGCACTTGCTACTTACCTGTTGATGGGCTAGTTTTAAGGTTCTGTTGTTGGTGTAAAAACTTTGAACAGGTTGGAATCAGGATATCTGATAAAGTGCCTTGGCTGAGGTCATCTTGATGAGGTGTTCCTGGTGGTTTCACATGGACCTGCAGTCTGTTTGGAGTCCATGCAGAGAAGAGCCATTAAAAGGATTCCTTCTCTGTGGAAATTCTCATCTGATGACGTTGGGCAAACACTGGTGGCTGCCTGCAGGTTTTGTCTTTGGCAACAGGTAAAGATGCTTTGTAAAGAATCAGTCATTCCCTGATTGACCAGCTATGGTTTTATTGTTATAATATGATTTTAAATATAATGTTGTATTTTGTTTACTACTTTTTGCACACTGCTGGGGAATCCTGTGGGATGTAGAATAATATAAATGTAAATAAATGGATGAATTGTTCTTACAAGGACATATTTGGAAGTGAATGGCTAATTGTGAACATAAGTAAGAGCAAGCATTATCTGCAGCTGCTTGTCCAGTGTATTCTTGTTGGAAATTTTGGTTTGTTGTGACAGAATGTGGGAATAGTCCTAATATTCACAAAATGAATGCTTTGCTGTTCTTAAAAGCACTAATTACCGTGGGAATTGTAAGGATTTTAAGATTTCATGAGAGACATTTTGATGACAAATCTACATCACATTCTTCAAATTGGTTGTCAGGGTGCGTAGCTGTATATCTAAACAAAACTTCAGTACTTGTCTTGCCAAGCCACAGTTCTCAGGATTTGTTTGGGAAGGTGTGTCAAGGTACCATCCAATATAAATGCCTGCCTGCAACTCTTCAAACTTGAAGGTTTGTGGGCATCCAGTTAAGTATAGGAGGGGAGGGGAAAGTCAAGATTGCCTCTGCTTTTCTCCCACACTGCAAGTGATATAGACAGCTTATTTCATCCATATACAGTGTTTCCCAAAAAATTTGACATTATTTGAAATGTGAATATCTGAGTAACTACATGTCCTAGGCAAATGAAGTTAAATAGGCTTCATGTTGAACAATAAAAGATTTATTTATCAAAACTCCAACAAGAGGTTCAAAGGGATGTAGATTTTGTAACCAATTTCACAAAGCTTCACAAATGTTCAATATGCACACCACCTGTGACACGACACAGGTCAATTTGGTAGCCCACCTGCTAAACACGCTGTAGCATGTCTTGTGTAGCATTGTGTAACAGTTTTTACACATTTTGTTAAAATTTGAGATCATTTGAGAGAGAATTGGCTATGTTATTAGACTACGAAATGATGTCAATTTTTTTGGAACACCCTGTATATCTTTTGTCCATGCTTGTGAGGATAAGGGGCTTGTATCCTGGTGAAGCTCCCCTCCTCCTGTTCCCCCAAAAACCCCCCCCCCCCCCCCCCGCAGCAGCTCTGAAGTTACACTTGTAACTTTGGAGCTAAATCTAGTTCAGAAAGGACTCAATTGTTCCCAGGGTGGCGAGAAGTTGATCTGAGCTCACAGTCCCACCTTCTACTTCAGAATTTATTTCCATTTTTATGCCACTCCATAACCCAAAGATTCTCTGGAAGGCTTATAAAATAAAAGCAATAAAGTAAAAGCCAAAAATTAAACAATAACAAAATATAAATTTTGAATTAAATTAACCAAAAGTTTGCTGAACAAAACAGTTTTCACCTGGCATCTAAAGGAAAGCAGAGTTGACACCAGATGTATGTCCCTGTGGAGCAAATTCCAGAGTGTGGGTGCTATTGCTGAAAATGGCCCCCTCCTTGCTCTTTTCGCCCTTGATCTCACAGAGGGGGATTTTCAGAGGAGGATCTAAGTGGGTGCGTAGGAATATATGGAGAGAGGTGCTCCTTCAGATACTCCGTTCCCATTTAAGACTTTATATGTCAAATACAACATTTTGAATTGGACGTGACTAGAACAGGAAACCAGTGTAGCTGATGGAGGACTGATGTAATGTGTTCTCACTGGCCAGTCCTTGTAAGCAGCTGTGCTGCCCTGTTCTGTATTAGTTGTAGTGTCTGGATCATTTTCAAAGGTAGCCCCACCTGGAACACATTATAGTAATCCAGGTGAGAGGTTACCAGCACATGGACCACAGTGGCAAGGCTCCACTCATCCAAGTGGGACCGTAGCTGAAGCTGAAGAAAGGTGCTCCTGGTCACCGAGCCCACCTGAGAAACCAGGGAGAGCTTGGGGTCCTGGAATACCCCTGAGCTATGACCCTTATCCTTTAGAGGGAGTGTAACCCTGTCTAGGGTAGGTTGAAAATTTCCTAGTTGGAGTGTGGGAATACCCACCAACAGTGCCCTGTCTTGTCTGGATTCAGCTTCAGTTTATTGACTCTCATCCAGCCCATTACTGAGTTCAGGTACAGGACAGCCACTTCCTCACCTGGGTCAGATGAAAAAGTGAGGTAGAGCTGGGTGTCTGATGGCAATAGGCTGATGACACCTGAGCCCACACCTCTGGAGAACCTCAACCAGCTGTTTCATGAAGATGTGAAAAATCATGGGAGTCAAAATTGAACTTCGCAGAGTTCTATGACAAAGTTGCCATGGCATAGGTGGTGCTGGGGGGGCTGTATCACCACCCCCCAACACCACCATCTGGAACCAGTCAGTCAAGTAGGAGTGGAACCACTGCAAGAACATTTCCAAAGTCAGGGCTGGGACACCAACCTATCCTGTGGCCGCTAGATGTTATCTGGACAGCCATAGGATTGCACCTTAGTTGTTAAACATTTTTATTATTTAAAATTAGTTTTAGGAATTTTAGGGTTGAGCCCTACCAAGGCAATAAACAGGATAAAAGAAGCGTGCCACAACAATGCAGTTCAGTCATGACAGTGATTATTTTTTTAAAGTGGCTCAAAAATTGGGGAGGAGGGGACAAATATTATATTTATTCCCTGCCTTTCTTCCTCTTGCTAGGAACCCAAAGAGGCTTATATAACCTCTTTATATAGC